TGACTACAAATTTCAGGGACACTCAGTGAGATTCTTAACACTAGTGAGTTGGATTTTCATATTTATTAGTTTGGTCATTGAAATGTTATATCAAACCACTTTTTTTCCCCCTTGTACATTAATGGGCTCTCAAAGTTTTACACCAGTACCAATTCTCAACTTGCAGTTTGTTGGGTAAACTATAATTTTGTGTAGCTACAAAATGAGCTGAATAGCAGCTGGAGGTAAAGTTCAGAAAGCCAGATGAAGGTTGCTGCACTGGCATACTGTCCATGATGTGGTCACCATTAAGATTCCAGCACTTAAGAGCACACTCTTAAAATTTGCAAAAATCAACTGGCCAAGCCTGGCAATGAAAACAGAGGATGAAGTAACTGAAACTAGTTGCTAAGCTATGAAAAGGCTTTTACTAACAGGTGTATATGAATGGAGGGCATAAATAGCAGCACCTTTGATATATTAAAGCTACTAATTTCATTATTGGTTCTTAGTAGATGCAATGCAGACTATCTTCATAAAAAATATGTTTGCTTGTGGCTAAAAGGTGACTTTCTAGTGAAAATGACTCCTTGGCACTTTCTATTGTTTATATCCCCCTAAGGACTGTTTCTTAAGTACAATAGATTCCCTTTGGTTTTGTTTTGAAGGGACAGAATAGCCTTTTAAACTAGGAATCTTGACTGCTTAGTTTGTAGATGTTCTTTTATTTTTTAAGCAAACACACCACATAGAATTAAATCAAAGTATGTCTTCAGTTATATATATATATGTATTTTAAAAGCTGTTATTTTAAGCAGCATTATTGAAGGATGGCTATTTGGGAAATTGCTTTAGGCAACTTCTAGTTCTGCAAATCAGAAAGTAAAGGCAGAATTAAGGTTCACAAAAAAAAAGTAGCTCTAGAAACTCAGAAAGTTCCTCAAGATGTAATGTTATCAGCTGATTTATTTTTCATAGTTTTCACAGGTGAACCAAAGGTAATTAGCAAATTCATCTCTGTAGAACACAGAATTAGAATTGATCAGGTTTGTATTAGTTAAATTAGTGAATCCTACTACTGCCTAAAGTTATGGGAAACTCTACTTCTGTTTCATGCTAATTAACATAGCATCTGTCCCCTCACCTCTCTTGATAAATAAAATTTACTTTAACCAACAATTGGTTTCAGAGAGTCCATACTGTGTCCATCATACCTTTTAAATGATGAAATATAATAGATGCTTCCCACTTCTTCTGGGAGGGGAAAATAATAAAAGTATTACAATGATGGAAGGAACTCTGTCATTAAAAAGGCTTAAGAGAACATAAAGTAGAAAGAGGTTTTGAGAACTCTAGAATCCCATATAACTTCTTCAAAGCTAAGTATACTTTCTAATTGCAATTATATCTATTAGAGAGGCCAAACAGCTGTGTTATACCAGGATCCATTTTTCTCTCTCTTCTTGTTTGTTTGTTTTGTTTTGGAGGGGTTTTTTCTTTGATTGGTTTTATAACTTTGGTTGTTTGGTTTTGGTTTTTGTTTTGTTTGGGGTTTTTTGTTTCCTTGGGGAGGGGAGTTTGGGGTGTTTTGGTTTTTTTTTTTTTTTTTTATAAGGGGAAGATTTTGCTGGCATCCGTGTCCATCACACATAATGGTTTGCTTGGCAAGATGAATGCCATCACTAAAATCATCCTTCACTGCCTTCTTCTTCCCCCATATGCTGAGAATGATGCCATATGGTGAGAAATGTCCCTTGGGTCACTTGGGGTGAGCTGTTCAGCTGTGCCCCCTCCCAGCTCCTTGCTGCTGGAGGAGCAGAAAAGGCTTTGGCTCAGTGTAAGCACTGCTCAGCAATAACTAGAACATCCCTGAATTACCAACACTTTGCAACACAAACCCAAAATAGAGCCCCATGTTAGGTATTATAAAAATATCTATACTCCAACCAAAACCTGCATAATTCCCTTCCTACCTTTCCTCTGCAAAAGGACAGTAACCTGAAACCTGAGAGATCAAAGGGAGTCACCTATGAAAGGGACTGACATTTTGCAAGCTGGTTAATCTTGCAAATTGGTTAATTGTATATGCAGGCAGGTATTCACTAATTGGATGCTCAATTATCCATTTTTCTCAAATAATGGACAATTGTGTATATGAAATTAAAGGTTCTATGGACAGCTAACTCTTTCCCAGTAATGAGATTAAGCAGAGACCATCCTAAAAGACATCATCAACATTTCAAGGCTTCAGAGAAGTCAAGGGGGGATGAAATTCTCTTATGAATAAGCACCGTGTAGTGTTGCCTAACAATTAAAGTATATATGTGGTAATATTAATATCAGAAAGCAGCAGAACCCAATATAAATGATAATTAGGAGAAATGACAGCTCTGCAAAAAGGAGCGATAGCATCATTAGTGCCACTAGGGGCTTTGTGCAGCTATGGAGCAGGGAAGGGGGTGGGGAACAACAACAGCTTTTGATCAGGCCAGATAGTTCTCTGGAATTTCAAACCATTGCCTAGACAGATTGCAATAATTTTCTCATTTTCAGAAGGGTTTACATATGGCTTTTCAATGTGTTTTCAGTCAGACATTATAAGTGCTTTTTGAAAGTAGGACTTAAACTTAATTCCTGAGCTTTTCTTTTGCCTTCTCTCCACGTTGCATTAGGATAGTTACCCTACAGCTACAAAGGGATAGCCCTGGAAGGCTTTTAAAAATAAATTCAACCTAAAATGTAATGAGCTATGCTTTGTGGACTAGAAGATAGGATTACAGGGATCCCATTTAATGTTTCTCTATTCTTGTCACCTGAGGATTTTGTCTGCCTTATGGGGTTGATGTGACTTTTATTTACATTCGTAAAAAACTTCCTAAGCTCTGAGGTAAATCTAAGAAGGGAAAAATAAGAATAAACAACATATAAAGTTGAATATTGCTTTACTTTCTAGCCAATACCATGCACATAACTTTAAACTACATCAAAGGTGAATAAAAGTTTTATTTTATTTAGAATATGTAATGGCCAATAGTCCTTTCATTTAATAAAAATAATTAGAAGTAATAATTATGTAATTTTCTGAGTACCTCAGAGCCTATAAAGATGCTTCTGATTGGGTTTATCAGTCTTGTCAGTAGGTGATGTGCATCCACAAAACAAAAGCCTGTAACTCAAGTCCTAAGTCCCAGAAGCTCCCAGGTACTGAAAAATTTACTGTTTTGTTTCTATTTCCCTTCCCTCATCCTCCCCTCTCCTTTCCACTGTGTTTTTCCTGTGTGGGTGATTATTGGTCAGTTTTGGGTAGGTTAGAAGCTGTGGAGAAAGCAAGGCTTGTCCCAAGTCCCGTCCAACCGAGGAGTCTTGCAACCAGGAGTTTTGAGTTCAGGATGAGAGCCTGTTTATTATTTACTTATGTTTTATAAATCCTTTTTTGATACTTTATTTTAGATAATGCTACTGATTTCAATTGTAGTGCTTGTGAACAGAATTTTGTGTAGGATAAGGCAGATGAGTTATTCCTGCCTTTTCTCTTAGCTACACCTATCCTTTCTTTACATGCTGTGAGCTTATTGTCTCATTTAAAAACAAACCAGCCCAACTCTGATCTGAATAAAATCTGAAAATAAACCCAAAAACCAGAAAAAAAAAAAAACCAAAATAAAAAACCACCAGCCCCAAAATATTTCTATAGTCAGGAAAGGAAAACTCCCTAAGGTTTCAGAAGACCCAGTCATAAGAATAGACATGCACAGTTATTATTTTCTCCAAGGGATTTTAGAGTATACAAACAGAGCTCTGCAACCATTTCTGCTGGGCAATTTTTATTATGATATATCTTCTTCTGATAATGCCTTTGTGATACCAGTTTAAAGCATGACAGCACTCTGTGTGACACTAAAATGCCATTGAATACTACAGCACAAAATGTTTTTATATTCTTTTTTGTCTAAAAAATGTGCTAAATACACCATATCCACGTTTCCAAAATAATCCTTTATGAACCATTCTATACCATGACAGTTTATGCTGTATCAGTGATCAAGTCAGCTTAGACAATGTGACTTATTTTCTGAGTTATTGGAATAAAGCTCTATAGAAAAATTCCAAAATTAGTATTTTTGTATGGTATGCAATATTGCAGTCTACTAGAAAATTGTCATATTTTGAAAATAAAAGCATTATCACAGTAAAATGAATAATAAAGTGCAAATGGAAACCATTTTGACAGATACACCATTTCTTGATTGTGTCTCTTGGAATAATGAGCCATTTTTCTGAGCCAAAATCACAGTGAGGTGTGGCCTGCATTTGGCCATTCCTGGGCAACCCAACACAGGAGAGAAGTTTTATATGAAGTTTAAAATTTAAAAATATGTTTTTTTATATTGTAGTGTGTTAAAAAATACCCCCTTCTAGTGGCCATGATCATTTAATGTGTCTTAGTGACAGGATGACTTGGGTAGGTTAGAAGCTTGGCTTGTCCCAAGCCCCATCCAATCTGCTTTTAACCCATTACCATAAATGTTTATGTTGCCAGACCAAATGCAATAATTTTTTATGTAAAGCATGCCACTTATACAGCATCTGCATAGGCATCAGGTATTTCCTCCACTTGAAAAAAGTCATATTTATGGCTAAAATTTGAAAGAAATGAAAGCCTACATGAACTTTTCTCACCACATCTACTCCCAGGACCAAACAGATCTTACTCCATATAGCTCTAATATAGTGCATTCCCTTGAAAGAAAAGTGGTTTCTAGGAAGGGCTCACTGAGTGATGTTACATTTCTTATTGATGAACTAGTGATTTTTTTCCAGGATGCTGTTGGGGATACATTTTTAGCTCTTTACAGGCCATTTTGGGAAAATTTTACACTAGTGTACTTCAATGAGAGTGGATTTTTACAGTTCCAGACTTAGAAATGAATTGTGTCCTTTCTGCCTTTGATATGGGGCCCTTTGTAGTAGATTCAAGCCTTGTTCATTCTGTCAAAATTTCAGTAATGCTATATGTCTTGAAATAGGATTATCCACATCTTTCCTAAGGGATGATGAGAGTAATGAGCAATTAGTTCACAGAGGGCCAGCTTTTCATGCAAATTTCTTCCTTCCATGTAAATTCTGCTTTCGTTAACAAAAATTGACCTTTATTTTTCAAATTGCCAGCTCCCTGGAGTTCCTCTAGTCTCCAAACTATAGTGAAAAAAATGAGCAAAGAAAAGGGAATGTTTCAGTAAATTATCCTCTGTCATTTTAATGCCAGTGTAAACACTAAACTGGCAAAAAATTTCACTATTTAGTAGATAACTAATGTTAAGAAGGTTCGTTATTATTATTAAATAAAGGTGATATACAGCTGCTATTTTATACAGGCATTACAAATGTAGTAAAGCTGTGCAATAAAGGTTCTTGTCAGGTTTTATAATGCTGAAGTTGATATGCTTTTATTTGGTATATATTGAATGTACAGTGAATGATAGAGCTTCAGATTTCCAGGTAAGTAATTGTGAAAGAAGAGCAGGAAGTCCAGTGCAGAGTGTGTTCCTGGAGTGTGAATCCAGGAGCAGAATGTTCTCCTCACACTTCTTATACCTTCAGCATAAAGCAAGGGAGAAGTGAGTTAAAATACCAACATTAACTTGGGATTAAACCATCTATTTTCTTCCCCTTGTGGAATGACGATCAGGGACATATTACCATTGGATACATTGAAATCTTCATTAAATTATTAACATTTTACTAACAGTAGAGGTAGGGTAGACTTTGAGCTGTCCCATCTCATGGCTGACAACCTGACATTTCTACATCTCCAGCTGTGTGCCCTCCTGTCCTGTTCATAGGAATGTACTCAAAATACATTGCTGGGAGAGACAGTATGATAATAAGATTTCCTTCAAGAGACCAAATGTGCTTATTGGCATGGCAAGCACAGAGGATCACAGATACAAATTGAAGTGGATGCTCCTAACTTTATTTCCTCTTTCAATTTCTTAAAGTGTCAGTGTTGGAATGGTTCTATTAACTTCATTGATATGAATAAAATTTTCACTGCTTGTTGCATAAAGCTTTTAGCAGCAAGGCTTGCAGGCCTTAGGCAAAATAAATTTGTGTCAGAAGGTAAATCCCCACGGGGACTAAAAAAATTAAATATTATCTCTTTCTGTTCTGAAACATTTTCTTCCTACACTTAAATAAATGTTCTCAGATCCCAGCAGCTCCTTTGTGCACCCCATTGCTGTTCTGCCCTTTCATATTGCTTGGCAGTCTGATTTCAGCATCTTCATTTTCACTTTCCTGCCTGGTGTCTCCAGCCTTTCCTCCTGTCCCTACAAAGCTTTCCATATTTCTAACTCTTGATAGCTGTAAATATTTATTGCTCTGATCATCATTTCTGGAGTTAGTGGTAGATATAAAATATCATTATATTTTCCTTAATAGCTGATTGAAATATCAGTTCTCCTAAGGCAAGCCTTATGGCAGGGCAGGACTTTCCTCAGTGACTGATTTATATCCCAGTACTTTTAAGTGTTCAGTTTTCAGGGAATACACAGAAAATTGGATTTGAACAGAAATGTCAAAAATCTGTTTTAATTCAAATATATTTTATATCATTATTTCTAGTAGATAAATGTGCTGCTAACCATTCAAATGGCATCCTAGGAAAAGGAAGTTCTCCAGCAGAAGCCTTTTTAAAGATGCTAATTCGATAGAAAAACTAAGAGATGGAAGGTTTCCCAATTTGTATATTTCGGATATGACAAGAGACATTTTTGTTTCTGAGGCAAAACCAGAGGCATCTATAAATAGATAGAAAAATAAGCATTATTTCAAATTTCTTCTGTTTTAGGACATGTGGCCAAAATACCAAGGGAAGGCCTTCAAACTGCCCTGTCACTTAAATTTGTAAGGAGCAGTCTGTGAATAAAAAAAGAAATTAACAGATATTTGATTTTATGTTAGGGATAATGTTTCACATAGAGGAAGGAAAAATACATTTATTCAGTAATAATTTGTTTGTGATTTTAAAATAAAGCTAGGAGACAGTGGTTTGGAAAAGAGCAGATAAGTCTGAGCTGCACGTTATGCATGGACAATGTAAATCTGTCTGTGCTTCATCAGTTTTGCCTTAAATCTTCTCTGTAATCAGGGGTGTAGTTGTGTGTGCTGTCTGCATCCACATGGTGCTAGAAAATTAAAGCTTTCTAGAGTGAACAGGAATGCTAGTTCGGGTCTGCTATGCTGGTAATTTCTTGAGTAGACTTCTGCTCACTGGAATAACTAATGTGACATAAAGCATAGGATGTGTAAAATAGTGACAACTCAGTCAATTCATCACAGCTTTGCTGAACAGAGGGAAGAGCTTCCTTACTGCTCTCCAATTTGTTGGATGGTTCAGTTCCTTGACTATGAACATGTATTTTCAGTTGTCAAGTCTCTTAGGGATAATTTTTTCACCATTTATTTTTTGCACAATCACAAAACTTTTGAAAGCTTTCAGAAGTTCTGAACAGATTTTTGAAGATATTTCTTTAAAGTCCCACAGAGCACTTCAGCCAACTTCTTTTCAGTTCTTTTCATCCTTGGTTTGCTTTAAAGAGTCTGAAAAAAAACATACAAATTATGAGCACACCTTGCAAGGCTGATATATTTGTTTAGAATGTGATGATGGTTCTGCATCCCATCAGAATATTACATTTCAGGTATAGCTGCAGCTTGGTTCTAGTGTGAAATGAGGATTCTTTCAAACAACAATGTCTGTATCCATGAGATGCTTAAGATTATTTACCTTATATGTATTTTTATAAGGTATATTTTTATAATATATATGTGTATATAAAGAGCACATAATTTATGCAGTGAAAAAATAGAGAATAAGTTAAAATACAGGTAGTGTTAAGGAGCATACTGGTAAACCTGTCAAATAGTTTAAGATGAACACAATAAGTAGAAATCCTAGTTTTCTCCTTTGCTGAGATGGAGGACAAACCAGAGCTTTTGTAAATGGAAGGGAAGAGTTTCAACCTAGGCTACCCTTTCTGCCTGTTGTTCCCCCTCGCAGCCTCTCTCTGTGCTACTGCCCCTGAGAGCTTCAATTCATGGCCTGTCTCAGAACAAGCCCCTGTGGCTGTGCACAGGCCACATGCACAAAAATATTATTAGTTTTCAAATATAGCTCAGAAACTTCATCTCAGGAAAAAGTCATTATGGCCAGAGCAAAATCCGAATATTTGGTATTAAGTATTTCTTTAGCTAAGGCTTGGGAAACTCAGTCTGCTCTGTAGGTAGTGCTGATACCCTTAAAGTTACCACATGACCAACTTGTATGGCCAAATGATAGAAATTGTTTTGACCTTTATCTTTGGCCTTTCAAATAGAAATAGGAACTTTAGAAGTAGGATGAAGTTTTACTGTGACCATGCTGATTTGTGTAGGATTTGTCATGAGTACACTATTTAGAAGAGGGATGAGTAATTTTGACTATCCATTTTTAATACTCTGAGAGATAAGGGGAAAAAAGTCCCAAAAATAAGACTTTTGCCTTATAATATTAAATTTGGTGTGATTTATTAAAAAAAGAAATAAGGAAAGAGTAGTGAATTCACGAAAGGTTAATAATATTTCTGAGAGGTCTGAAGAAAAGAAGGCTAAGGTGGAGGCTGTAATTGCCATTTTCAACTGCTGAGGGAGTCCTTACAGGGGACACAGAACCACACTCTGCTCAGGTGCCCTGAGAAAGGATGAGAGGCAACAGATCCCAGCTGCAGCAAGAGAGAAATTCTAATTTGGAAAAACAAAAGCACTCTCTACAATAAGCAATAGTCAGAATTGAACAATTTCCCCAGAGAAGTTGGAATCCCCATTCTGTGGGATTTTTGAAATTAGGCTGGACAAGGTGCTAAGGAAGCTGATCTAGCTTAGAAGTTGTACTGCCTTGAGGAGGGAGTTGAACCAGATCATCTCTTATCAACCTAAATTATATTGTTCAATTATATTGCTGATTGCAGATAGTGATATTTCTAAGTCATAGCAATGATGTGGTTCTCCACTTGAAGTGTTAGCTTTGCCCTTGTGATCTAAAAATTAAACAACTTAAAACTGATTTCCTCCTAGAGTTACAGCAAAGTTAGGAAAGGCAAAACTTTGCCTTGTGGAAGGATGTTTCTACATCACATACTGAAGCATTTTAAAGGTGATTCAAGGTCGAGTGCTCACAAAATCCAAATGCAGATTTTTTAAAAGAAGGCACATTTGCTATTTTGCACATCAGTTTTCCTAAATCTAATAAAAATCACAGTAATTTTTAAGCTTTTAATAATGGATATTAAACTGGTAAGCCTGGTGAATATTTAGTTTACATATAAGTAGTTACTATTTTAATATTTTTTGAACAACTATTGTAAATTCAGTGTTTTGAACAGTGATGCTGCTAATGTGATAGAACAGATGCTATTATTGGATTTATAGAGCAGGTTTCTGTGAAATTCTGAATGTTGCTGTAGATTGATCACATTATTGCAGGACATGCAATCAAGCTTACAATTACTCAGTCATAGGTATTGGGGCTAAGCTTATATTTAGACAAGCATTTGACATATCAATCAATACGATACTATGAAAGATTTACTGAAGCTGATCATACCATAACTCATTTCTGCTATGTGAAAAAAATAAAAAATTAGGGGACACAAATAGAAAAAGTTCTTCTCTCCACTTGGACTATTTAGATTCCACAGAATGTTTAATGTTCCTTTAGGAGTTATGAATAAAAGTTGCATCGATTCACTCCTTTTCTCAAAGTGCATGAAGAAAAAGAAAACCTAAATAAAAAATATTTTGCTGCAGTAATTACTGCAAATAAAGATAGATCTACTGGAGATGTCAAGACAAGCCTATTAACCAGCAACTTTTTCTGCTTACTTAAGAAAGGGCATTAAAGCAGTGGTTTAGGTACTTGTTTGCCTGGCTTTGCTTCTCATCAACGTCCTGAAGGACACGAGGTGTGAAAAGTCTAGTTTCTTTTCTCAGCTTGAAGTTTCTGACATCCAGAAAGGAAAACCAAATATTTCCATTATTTAGAAAGAGAAACAGAACGATTGGAAAAGCTTTTCATGATATGAAATGAATATTCATCTTTCTAAGATACACTCCGGTAAAATGCATGAGGTTTTGTCATTGGCTGTTTAATAATTCCAGACATTGATGATTTACGCCAGACCTGGAGAGCGCACTGTTTGCCTGCCATCTGTCCCAGCTAATCTCCAAATTCCATCTACAAACGTGGATGACTTACAACTTCCCTGATTAATGTCATCTATCATTTTCTTCATAACACAGAGCAATTAATCTCGGCTGGTCCCAGGGGTCCGCCGCAGTAATAGGTTTGTGGGGGGTAGAAACAACCCGCAGAAGTCTGTTTGGAAAGAACACCCTTTAACACCCTTTCCTCACATCCCACCTCACCTCCCTTTGTTCTTTCCTTTATTATTCCATTTTGTGTGTGTGTGTGGTTTTCCCCCGCTCTCGCTGCTGTCTGACACGCTTTCGGGGCTCCGGGAGCTCCCCGGCGGTGGCAGCGGGCGCGGTTCGCTCTCCCGCAGCCGCGGGGCAGCGGGCAGGTGCCCGCACGGCCGGGCGGGGGAGGACACACGGGAGAAGGAGCGAGGGCGGCCGCAGCTGCATTGCGGATGGAGCCGCTGGCTCCCGGGGAGGGCGGCCCCGTGATGCCGGGGGCGGGCGAAGGCCCGCGGAAGGCGGCGTGGGCGGCGCGGGGCACCGGGGGCGCGGAGCCTCCGCCCCGCCGCAGGAGGGAGGGAAGGAAGGAGGGAGAGAGAGAGGGAAGGAGGGAGAGAGGGAGATGCCGCCACCGCGTCCCGGCTTGGGCAGCGCAGCGGCGAGGGGCGGTGAGTGCGCGGGCGGGCGCTCACGGTGGCGGGGGAGATGCGGGGAGATGCGGGGATGGGGCGGAGCTGCTTGCGGGTGGCCGCGGAGCCGGGTCTCACCTGCGTCCTCCCCTTCGCCCTGTCCCCGCCGCTCGGCTCGGTCACGGCGGACCCCGTGCCGCGTTCCGGCAGCGGTGCGGCTGCTCCCGGCGCGGAGTTGCGGAGGGGCCGGGCGGCGGCCGGGAAAACTGTTTGCTCAGGGTTCTTGCGGGTGTCACGCAGAGTTTTGCGCCCTCAGAGCCGCTGCTTGGCTGTGGATGCACCCTTGGTGGGGAGGCAAAGCAAAAAGGCGTGACGTGAAGCCCATGCCTATAAAAAGTAAAAAGGCCGTCGGAAAGGGTTTGCCCAGCGCCTCGTGAGCGAGCCTTTGGCCCGGGACTGAAGCTGTCAGGGTGCTTTGCGAAAGCCAATAATTGCTATTTTAAGAAAAAAACCTCTCGTTTGTCCGGTGAATTTGTGCGTGTTGTCGGAGCAGGGCTGTGATTGCGCCCTTTAAACACGCACAAGTGCCGCTCCGTGCCCGGGAGCGCTCAGCGCTGGCACTGACGCGCTCGGGCTGCGTTTGGTAACGGGACCGGCGGAGCTGAGGCTGCAGGAGCAGCCGAGACTCGTCTGTAAAGAGACCAGAGGGCATGGTCTTATATCGCGTGCGGTTAGCTGACTTCTGGAACTCTCTTAACCAATAGGAATGTAAAGAACAAAGTATAATAAAAAAAGAAAATAACTCTTGTAGTAAAGGCTTTTGGCATAAAGGTAAATTCAAGTCACAGATGTTTCCTTTTAGTAATTCAGCCTAAGTGAAATGTAAATCTGTGTTATTATGGAAACTGAAAAAAAGTAGTTCTGGATTATGAGTGTGGCTTTCTATGTTGTATGAAATATTTTATGTCTAACACTGAGTTTGGGAGACTTAATTCTGAGTGAATTTTCTGATGTGGCTACATTTAACAATTTATAAATCAGCACTAAGTTCAGAGAAGCTACACTGAAGAAAGTTGGTTTAACAGACTCGAACTTCACAAAAAATGTCCACTTTCTAAAGACTGACCAGGTCATCCTTTAGTTTTAATATGTGTAAGATAGCATATTAAAATAATTTGCTCCTTTTGTAAAGGTCACAGGACCTAGGCTGTCCTTTCCTGACTTTAGTTCTCTTTTGCCAAAGGCTCTGTTGAAAAAGCCATTTTTTATAAGAGGTCTCTTTGAGAGTACCTGGAAGACAGTCAGGGACAAATGTTATGAAAGTCACTTGAGAACATCCTGCTGTGCTTTGGGAGCAGGTGATTTTCTCAGGTACAAGTTGTCCATGACTTGTTCCTGTTTCAGCTATACTATTGGCTTTATTTTGGAATGACTCACTTTCTCCTAAGGCCATTGATATAATAAGAGACAATAATTTAGAGATTTTAAGGCTTTCTTTAAAAATCCAGATTTATGTGACTGGTTCATTTTGTGAGGCCTGTTCTGACTTGAGATTCAGAAGGACTGTAGAGATGTTTCTTCTTGTTATGTTATCAGAAGTTTCATTGGTTTTATGGCACTACTCTGGAGTAATGCATGTTTTCTGGTGAGGTGGTATGGGCTCTTATTCATCACTATTTTTTCTCCTTGGAACAGATTAAGTCTTAATACTGTCAGGGGCTTGCCTTTGTAAACTAAGGAATTTGGAGCATCTCTAGCAACTACCACATTATTTCTGATGCTTTATAATTCATTTTCCAAGGCAGTACAAAATACCAGAAATTCCAGCTGTGGCTAGGCCCTTGGAGTCCACATTTATCTCCCACATTGTGCATTTTATGACAAGGAGGAGTAGTGGGAGGCTGACAAAGTGATAATACTGTGACATAGCACTTCTATAGGCTATATATCACAGCAGTGTACCATATATTACAGCAATCATATGTAGTGTGTCTGTCACAGCTGGCCAGAAGAGCTGGTGGGAGGGGTTGCTGCACTCAGGCATGCCATCCAAATCCACAAGAGAGCAACAAAGTCTTTATTTGGATCCTATTGAAACACTAATGTGGACAGTAGAAAAAGAGAACTCTATTGTACTAGGTTGTACTTGATACTAATTTTTTTATTGAATTAATAAACTTAATTGAAGTAGTAAAATCCCATGCTTTCCCTTTGTAATTCTTTAGGTCAGCATGTGTAGGGTGAAATACCTTTTCACTTATGTCTTCCTGACTGCTTTAAATTTTAAAGGTGTAAGTCATTGGTTGATCACACTTAATTGATAGTTAACTGATATCCCAAATGTATTTGTAATGTAATCAGGAAAAGAAAGAATTTTAGTTTTATTTTAACAGCTGCAAAGCTATATTAAATTGACTTTTATCCATAGCAGTGTACCTTTTCTAGCTCCATTTCATTAGACTGACAAGTAAATGTGTAGATAATATAAAAGATATCCTAGAATTTCTTATTTTAATAATTTGAAAAAAAAATCTTGCATCTTCATTTACTTTATTTTGTGCTTGAGACTTTTACTTGACAGAGGTTGAAACCAGGATTGCAACATCTTGTGAAGAAGATGCAGGAAAAGATGAGCTGGAATGCTAATATTCACATAGATCCCAGGTTTCAGTCTGCTGTGATGGATTGTGATGATGTAGAAGTTACTCTTCCTTTCAGAAGCAAAACTATTCCTGAGCTAAATATATTCAATATCTTCTTTGAGCTGTTAGTTTATCATAAGCATAGAATGCATGTCAGAACTGTGCCCTCAACTCAAATTACCACATACAAGGCAGGTATCCAAATAATATAAGAAGTGGTTGTTGCATTTATTTCAATTCACAGACCATGAGCAATTTTACAGTAGTCAGTTTGCCATTTAAGTTTTGATTTCAGCAGGCCAGTTTTTCTTAATTGTGTGTGTTAGACCACTTGGAAATAATTTGCATACTACAAGCAGAAAATTACTTTTGTAATATATAAGTATCCACTTTAATATCCGCTTTAACTTTCACATGGTTGACTGGTGGTGTGTGGATATATAGTAGCTTTCTTGAAATTTATGTATGAAGACCAAGTCTCTCTTTCCACAGTTGTCCTTATCTCCTCAGTCATATATTTGGCAAACATGTTCCTATCCAAGTAGCTGAAGTTGCGGTCTTTGAATGATGTTGTAATTAATTCATTAGTCCTCATATTCATATATAGATATGTGGCCTATTTAAGATTTGTTTTGTGATAGAAACTTGGAGGAGAAATAAAGGTAATATTTACCTGGATGGTCATATAAAGTAGCAGTGGGAAAAACAAAATTTAACCTTACGATGCCTGTGTAGAGAGGGTTCTGAAATATCTGATAAAAATAATAGTATATATTTCACACTTTATGATGAGAAGAAATGTTCTGATCACTCATCTTCAAGAAGAAATAATTGAAATTGGGTAAGTGCTGTAAAGGGCTAATAGGATGGTCTGGTCATAAGGAGATAAGAGGTCCTGATTTGTTTGACCAAGTGAAATGAAAGCTATGTTGGACTCCATGTTGGACTCCATGGACTGCAAACTCAGGAGGACACTAGCAGAAGGGAAGCAGAGGCTTTTGGTAAAGAAAATTGCTTTTAAGAGAAAAACTGACTATTACCCTTGAAAAAATTGTCTTGCAGAAATTTGGAGAACATCCTCCTGTAGGAGCACATGGGTTGTGGAACAGTGGGAAGTGTTGGGAAGTACTGCAGGAGTTTTGAGATGGAGTTTCTCTATTTTTCCAGAAGGGATTATGTGTGCCCAGGAAGTGTTTGCATTTGGCTCCTATCCAAGGTTTAAATGTCGTGCCATGCAGCATGCCAGTCCAGCTCTCCTTTCAGGCTGTTTATAATGAAGCTTCAGAAATTCTTCATTGCTTTTTGGGGCTTGCCAATGTTCAGCCCCTCTTGAGTGATTGTTCTTCTACGTCAGCTTTAAGCTGCTTGTTGCTCCTTAGCAGACTAAAGCTGCATTGTGTGCAGCCTGCCTTTCTATTCTTGATTCTTTTGCCTTTGCTTCAGCAGATCTCTGGGCTGGCTGAAGTGGGACATAAATCTCTTCTGATCACTCACTCCTCAGCCTGTACTTAGGTCTGTCTTTTCCTCTGAATGACTTTATACACTTTCTGGGGTATTTGTTGTTGATTTTTGACTTTTGGGAATTTGGCTGGCCCTCTTAGGGGGTTCTTTTGTTGGGAGAGATTTTTTTGGAGTGGTTTTGTGTTAGGAAAGAGAAACGTATTGGATTTTTTTGGGTTTTAGGTTTTTGTTTATTATTATCTTATTTAGAGTTTTGTACATTGTCTATACTAGGCTTGAGCGCACTGGAAAAGCACCACAAAAGTGGCTGACAGTCTTTGTTACAAGGTTTTTTAAAGCTAAACTATCCAATTAAGAACTGATAACTAGATTTTTTTCCCCTTTTAACTCAATAACTGATCCTCAAAAGCCCACAATGCAGATTTTTCTGCCCAATTACAAAATGCCACCCAAACCCATAAGGAAGGAAGCAGAAGAAGCATGAAGAAGAAACCCAGGACGACACCCTGTGCCCTCCATCCACAACCTATTAAAAATCCCAAAACCTAAATTTCTCACCGAGTGATACACCTACACTACTCTCTACAATCTATTTCACACTTTAGTAGATTCTAGTCTGTCTTGAAGTTTAGGAAACCTTCTCCATGAATGAGGATAAAAGTCAGTGCTCCCCTGGGGGTCAGGGCACCCCAGAGCAGACAAAGAAATATTCCTGGTGCCCTGGGTTTCCACATACACTCTTACAGATTTCTTCTGAAAACACATAATATTCAAAATGTTTTCAAATGAGAGCTGTTTGGTAAAGGGATATCAAAAAATGGGCAATGTAGATATTTTTAGACATTCCTCTGTCACACTCACATACCAAAAGCAGTGAGGAAAGTGAATGTAGTAGTTTGTGGAGCTGAAATTCTGCTAAAAATGACAGATTTTTAAAATAAAAGTTTAGAAGAGCTATGGTCTGCTGAATCTTGTTGGCTTTATCTCTCATTTTGTGTTGTGTGTAAGAGAGTGTAATTTTGCTTTTGTGTAGTATGCCAGCATCTCTGGTGGAGCTACACATTTCAGATAATGGCACAGGCTTCTATTTATCTCTCTGTTGTTCCTTAGAGATGACTTTTGGATGAATCCATTAGCAACCATAGCAGAGTATGTGCTGTACTCTTCCTGCTTCAAGTCAGGATGTCAAAGTTTGGCAAAAGCCGCTCTGTCCCTTGGAGGATCCTTAGGTAACCTGGTGATTTGGGACCATTTGTTTGTCTGTTTGTAGGGTAGAAAAAGGTTTACTTCTAATGTAACTTTATTTAGTAGAAAGATACTTTACATGAGTAATTTTAAGTAGGTTCCATCTGGAGAAAGGTAAGTCTGTCTCACTTCCCTGGCCCAAGACCAGTGGTAATGGTGGCAGTATGGAAGTGGGAGTCTAAAAGTCATCAAACAGCTGAGTTTGAAATAGGGGTGTGTTCACCCCAGCCAGAGTGAAAATATATGTGAGACCCTTATTTATACCATGGTTAGGAAACTTGGATGATTTTTTCATTATGTTTATGGAATTATTTGCCTCCTCACCGGCTTTTTGCATCTGTAGTCTTGATTACTGTACACTCTTTTGGTTTTATTTTTATTTAAGTAACATCTCCCTTTTACTTACTATTCACTTTATTCCACCTACTCTTATGTTTTTTAGTGTCTACAACTTCAGAGGCAGTGGAAAGCTTAAATTTAAATTTTTAAGCAAATGCGTCTTCTGGGTGAAAATTCTAAGT